ACCCTGCCAGGAGGGTTTCGTAGCTTTTCCCATATCGATAAGGAACAAGGCCATTTTCCACGTGGAACGTTCAGGCGCGGGTTAGGCGTGTATTAGCTTCATTCTCGCCTTCGGAATAATTGGAGAAAGTTGAAAATGGCAGAGATCTGCCCTATGATCCTCTCTGTCTCTCTCGAAAAGAAACGAACGCCGGAAAGCACCTCAAAGCGAAGAGCTCCCACTCGATCGAGCCTTTGATGTTATAAACCGTCACGGTCTAGGAAACGTGGGAATAATAGATGCCGGATTTACACGGTTCGCGGCGCACGGAGTCTGTTCTGCCTCCACGATGTTCGTTCTCACCTTGTTAGATCGGGCGTCGAACGGAAAAAAGCCTAAACCCCGAAGAAGACCATTAAATTACAATGCAAAATGCCAGCGAGTGAAACGTCTGGGTCGTGACTATCGCCGCGCCGCGAAAAAAAAACTGCGTAATACAACCGAGCGAGCGTCCGTCTGCGAGGTTTCTTTCGACGAACGCAAAAAACTACCATCCGCACTTAATTTACGATCGATAACGCGGCGAAAAAGTAACGAACCTTCGTTGCAGTGTAAACAGAAACCGGCGAGGAAAAGTGAACGTTACGCGATGCAAGAAGAGATTTGTATGGGCCAAAAAAGAGTGGCGCCTATACAAACTCAATTATCTCAAAAACCAACGGCACGATTCAGGTTTTCTAAAAATCACGAGATTCCTCGCTCTAAACCAGATCAAAAATCTGTATTAAAATTTTGTCGTAGAAGCTTTCATTTCCAAGCAAATAAGGTTTGAAAACGAAGAGACACACCCACGCATACCCAAGTGTCTCCTGACTCTACCTACTTTGAATCCATTTTTCTCGAAAACCAAGGGTCCTAGGGAAAAATCGTTTTCTACGTTTTCGACGCAGTTTTGTCCAAAGAATCGTCATGCGTAGCGATTAGAGTGAAGAAACCTGTCTAGGGTAGAGAGAAAAGGAAAAAGTTGGGTTATACGGACGTTTCCTCGACCTTCGACTCCTCTCTGGCCCCATCCGCGTACATAAATCTCGCAGGAACTGCCGATGCCGAGAAGATGGAAACTGGATACACGGCGGAAACGCATGAGTCAGTGATGCCTCCGGAGAAAACGACATCGTTGTACGAGTTTACCGTGGAAGCGAGGTCTCTCTGCGTCGGGTGCGTTGACCCAGCTTACGGTAACCCAGGCCGAGTTGCACCTGCCTCGCACGGACTTACCGGGATAAAGGGTCGTGCGACCCGAATTACTTCCTTCTTTTTTTCATACGTTGCGTTTTTCTGCCACGCAACGCCGACCGTACACGCGAGTTCGCGCCGACACCGATTCGGACGATTACCTTTCCCCAACGACATGGATAATGCATGAAGTCGTAAATCGATTACTGCTTTTTAATTGCGAGACTATTTAATGCCGGCTCGGTTAGGCGATCGCGGTTGCTAGTGTGGTTATTGGAGGAGGAAAAAACGTTGACAGTAACGTAGGTAGGTTATTACATTGCACGTTAGGTACATTGGTACATTGTTTATTCGCTTGTAATTTTATTGCTGATCCGGGGGTAATAGGTTGGGCTAGAAATATCCCAGAAGAAGGAAACTCCTGCGATAAGGTGATTCGTTCATTGGCAACTTGAGAGCTCTACGTAATCCATACCTGCTATTAGGTTGACCAAAAAGTTTGGATGGTTCAGTAACTTCAGTTTGATTTTTTATTGTTTAAAGTCACTTCGCACAGAACATTTGAACTTGTTTTCGAATTACAGAATTTTAAGATCGACTCAAAAGTAGAAAGAGCTTCGATTCTGAAACGAACGGTTGTTAAGAATCATTTACATCAATGTTTTACTTTCGAAAGATGAGAAATTTTATAAGCGTGGAATCATGAATTTGCCTCGAAGATATGGAAGGATTATAGAACAAAATGGAGAATGTGTTATTAAATATAGATATTTCTTTGTCTAAGAAAAATCGCTTTTCATAATCTGAACTTCTTGGCCAACACTATTCTAAACTGTGCGTATCGTTGGTACTGTGCAGTTATCGAGGTTTGCTCTCTAGACCAATTTTCTTTACAATTTTAATAGAACCTAAAATCAATTTTGAATCATCTTCGACCACCTCTACGCGAACCCACCGCCTTAGGAGTACAATTTATTTTGCAACGAACTCGTAAAAGCCTGGGAACCCGATGTTCGCAGATTCGTCGAGCCAACAGAGGATCTCATTGTTTCTCCAAACATTCGAACAACGGAGTGCCATTTAATGATCCCCGCCTCGTCACATCCTCGCCCCAGGCTCTTAAATTGCACAAAGTGATCGTTGAAGCGCCGCCCACGTCTTAACTGGCTCGTCTACTCACCCTGATCGTATTAATCTGCAATTTGCATACCTCGCCCCATTCAGTTGCTTTCTGTTCCTTCATCCGCGACCGTTGAACCAGCTCCAATCATCGATAACACCGATTATCGGGTTAGGAAACAGGGTGGCCAATGGGGAAACTAGAATGGGCGTATACAAAGGCATCGAAACTCTTCAAGCTTGCAAGTATTTCACTAATAGTACAATTTTAATTCGTGTTTTTAATTGATTTCACATTCTTTTTTCTACTTTCTTGTAGTTTTTTAATGGGGATCTATTATTTTTCAATGATAACTCTTTGAGTCCTCCACTTTTTCATGTACTTGGCGTAATTTTTTTTATACTTTTTCGAAGTTTTTTATGGGATTTTAACGTACGCCACTTTCAAACGCACGGTTCCCAGGTAGCCAACGTTCTTTAACGCAGCGCAATAACCGATAGATATTTTTATTCTTGTGAAAAAAAAAAACGGTCACCCATCTTTTACCCGCACCCCGCGTAAAAATTAATACCCGAAGTTTGCTGAATTTACTTGCAAATTAAATTACCCACCGACTCAACTTCAGTGATATGGAGTTGTAACAAGACGATGATGAGACCATGAATCGAGCATTATATTCGATACGTCCTTAACGTTTATGAAGGCTATAAAGCGATAAACCCGGCATTAAAGTCTCCAGGTTATGCATCCGAGTGCACATGATTAGGTCTCATCTCGAATTTGGGTCAGCCGAGTGGTCCCCCCTACAGAAAGCACATTGTCAGCACTGAGAGTGTGCAGCATGAAATCACCAGGTTCTATTACGTTGTATTAGCGAATCGATGCCATTCCAGGGTCACGATTAGCTGCGAACGCACTGTTATTTTTATTGGTACGTGTTACGCAACATTTGTGGCAAATGGTATCGAAATATTCGAATAATCGTACTGTTAAAACTATTAGACGTATTTCTTCGTTGCTTGCTAGTGATCATAGCGCTCTCTTAATATCGAATGAAATAAAAATAGATGCTTCTTAGTACCAACACTGGCGGAAGCAACACAGGTTTCAATTACCGAGGGAAAAGTTCTGTCAGAAAACAAGATGATCGATATTTTTCCGACCCATACTCCGAATCTTTCCAAAGTATTGTGATTCTATTTTCTTTCTAATCCGTTTAAAGGTAATTTTCCTGGCGGAAACCATCCAGATTTCAATTACCAAGGGGATAATTCTGTCACCAAACGAGGTGATCGATATTTCTCCGACCCATACTCCGAATCTTCCCAAAGAATTGTGATTCTATTTTCTTTCTAATACGTTTAAAAGTAATTTTCCTGGCGGATCCATAGTCGATTAGCCCATGACTGTCATAAATTCCCTCGATGGGGAACGGTACAACCAGCCACGGGGAATAGTAGAATTGCTTCGCGAAGAGGGATCAGAAATAGAAGCGGGGCCGACGGACGCCGGCAGGTTCTCGTTCCGCATTACCCGTACGTGAGGACGATCGAGAGGAGCACGTGAGGTCTCCTCTTGACCTCACTTTCTAGAATCCTTTAAGTATATGGCGCCTTCGACTCCACGGCTCGTTTATCCATTATCGATGAACGAACGGCGCTTCCCTGACACACGACGTGTCTCTACTAACCGAGATACCGGGCCCCTGTACAGATTGTTCGTGACAGATGGGGGCTCGCTGTCAAACGGCCACGGAGACTCGTTAAAGTAGAACGTCCGCTTGATTCGTCTCACGGAAGTCGCGGCACGTGAGGAGCAGTTTTTGCCTCGTACCAAAATGGTGGACGTGGCTTCTTACGGGGACCACTTGGGTGTCCTCCGCTCCTGAGGACAGCGGTCGCGGTATACGGAATGGAACGCGTTTCGCGGAGGCACGGGGTGTTTCTGGAAATCGTGTATCTTTGTAAACGGTCGCAGGAAGAGGCCCAGGCATTGTCTTCATAATGCAGGTTCGCTGTTCTTACCTACGGGTCCCACGAACGGTTGATTTTGGGGGGTAAGGGGGATATTCCTGGTTGCGATTGCGTCGAGTGGAACTGCGTGGCGAAATGTTAGATTTCGCAGACATGACGTAATTGAGTTTCAAATTAGTAAAGCTTTGAATTAATTAAGCTTTGAAACAGTTGAGCTTCGAATTAGTTAAGCTTCGACTTAATTGAATGTCAAACAAGTAAAGCTTCGAGTCAATTGAGTTACAAATTAATTGATCTTCAGCTATAGTCATTTTCAAAATCCACGTACAAGACATGGCACAGAGATTCGAACCCACGATCCTCGAATCCATACTCAACCACTTTTCCCACACGAACAATCCCGCACCCCACGATTCGTGTTCTCGTTTGACTCCATCTTCTTGCGCGGACACTCCGCTCGACTACACCTCTCCACATTCTCTACAACGTAAATACAAGTTAAAAAAGAAATTTCACGACAGTACGCGAATAGTACTCGAAGCTTCACAGTCCAAATACGAATAATCAACTCCTAAATCCCGAGATTGTTCGCTCCTGGATATCAAAACACAACTTACGATCTTTTTCAACATTCCCAGCTCCTCCGCGTTTACCATCCTACGAATCTAAGTAAAATAATCGCGGTGTTGCAGATCTGGCCCAGATCCGAGCCCTGGTGGAGTCTACGGGGATGCTGGGAGGCTCTACCTGCCCGTCCTGCGAGATGCCGTTCGACAAAGGGAAGAAACGCAGGCTGATCGACTCCTGCGGCCACGAGCGTTGCTATTCCTGCCTGTTCCGCAGCGAGGCCTGCCCGTTGTGCCTGCACGCCGACTTCAACGACGACGACGGCTTGGAGGGACCCTTCAGGGACGGGTTCACCGGCTCTTCGGGGCCCATGTCCATCCTCGCGCCCACGGATGGCTGGGTGGATGAGTCATCGACGGTGAACTCTCTCTGCGGCAGCCCCAGACCCCGCACGAAAGTCACCACGAGAGCCAATCTTCCGTCACGAGTCATGCATGTAAGCATCATCATCGTCGTCGTCGAGTAACGCTTTCCTGCTTTGGGGGCGCGGCGGGGCGGGGATTCTCGACGGCTCTTCAACGGCACTCTCGAGCCTCGTGGAACGTCTAGAGCGTTTGCCAACTATTGTTCGACGAGGTTGACGTGCTGACGAAGGACCTGGCGACGCGTTACGAATCGATTCGGAATGATATGTCGTGGATGGACGGGGAATTGGAGTACACCCGGCCCATGTTCTTCGCGTGGATGGAGATTTGTTGAATACCTTGCAAATGGTTGAATATGAATTTAATATTTGGGAGAAATGTATTAGTAGTAGCTCTTATGGAAGATGATGAGTCTGCAAGAGAAATTGGTTCTATTAGTGTTTAAAGACGACTTTTGTACTTCACAATGTTAAGTCATTCTTGGAACTTGGAAAAATATAAATAATTATGCCTGTAGTCTCGTGTTCCTAGCATTGAATCGCTCATAATTTTCTTCTCCAGCAACGAGACGGAGATGAAAGTGTCTCTTCCATGGCGAAGGGTCTGAAGAACAAGCCACCAGCCCTTCCGGAGTCCTCCGCGTCTCAGGGCCGACAGAAGCTTCAAATGATGACCCAGAGTACGTAGCAATTGACACACCCTAATTAACTTTAGTGCTTTATATCCACCATCTCGCACTTAATCTCACGCAAAACGTACTGATCGGAAACGTACTCACGTCCCCCCTCGTACTAATCTCTAACGCAAAAATGACTTCGCAGGTTGCCCCACGCCTCCGAATCAAAGGAAAAGGTTTTTCCTGAATCCGAAGGTACTCAGGAGCTCGTTCGTCAATCAAAGGTCGTCCAGGCGAGGGGCGTCGTCCCCCGAGCCAGCCACGAACGACAATCCCTCGGCCCTGTCAGGTAAGCCATACCTCGAATTCCTCGAAACATAGTTCTACATAGAAAATAGACTAGACCACGGACGCTGGAGCCGGCTTGAGTTTTATTAACATTGACACCTGCACGCACACGCAGTTTGGATGGCCTCGTCTTGGGAGGGGAAGTCAAGATGGCCGGGTGTAGTGCTGGGGAAAATCAAATCCTTGTGGAGCAACAGCCAAGGGACAGCCAACGATGGGCTGAACCAGCTGATCGACTCGAGGAGCAAAGTTAAAGGCAGGGAGACATCTTAGAATCGAGTGTGCATTACCGTGTTCAGAGTTGATCGCTGGCTGCTTGATAGTTGAGGGTGATCGAAAGATCCTTCGAAACTAACCACTTGCTCTTTCTCTCTCTCTCTCTCTCTCTCTGTTTCTCGATCTAGCACACAGGCTTTTCCTTTCTTCACACTCGTAGTAGAGCACTGATCATCGAGTTTGAAGCAGACCTGAGCATTTTTGAGATTGTATTATTTGAAATATTGCGTCGAATCGGAAACTATTAGGTTGGCCAAAAAGTCGTTCGGATTTTAAGGAGTAACACCACTGTAGAGGCTGAAAAGAAAGGCCTATCTTTGATGATTAATTTTGAGAGTATCCCAAAAAGAATATGATCTCTTTTTACAGGGTGTATTTAACACATATTGAAGTATAAACAAAAATTGTTGTTTTATAATTTTAGTATAAAGTAACAACCACAAAGCGAGTCTTCAAAATTGACTTTCTCTCGTTTTCTCGTTGTGTATAAAATTTGGAACAAACAACAACAATTTTTATAACCTACATACTATTGGCTATAAAAGTACGTAGGGTCTTTTTTTAAATCAAATATTGTAGAAATAACGCACTAACCATTTCTTTAGTCAAAGAAATTTATTAACTCTGTAACGTATCGTCCATTTTGTTCTACGATCTTTCCCCATCTTTTGGCCAAATTCGTGATTCCAGATACGTAAAAGTCCTCGAGTCAATAACTATTCGAACTGGAGAGACGAACATCATCACGAACCAAATGAACCTTTCGGCCGATCGAATATTTCGTTTCCTTACTAATTAAAATTTGCCCAGGTTTGGCTCTAAGCATGCCTTATCGGTTAATCGTTGTCAGCAACCGCGTGTGGTGTGACTTGCGCACGAATCTCCCGTTCTAAATACGTTTTCCTTCGCGAGAACGAGACCAGGTCTCCGAGGTTACAGCGTACGCGCAAAACTTCATTGTTCCACACGATTTAGGTAGATGCTTGAGACGTTTCGTTCCCAAGGTAACCCTCAAAGAGGATCCTGCATCGTGACGATATGTGTGTGTGTTCTGTGTCGACTGCATCCATCGCGAGAACCATCCTCCACCGTCGCTAAAGCCAGACATTCTCTTTGCAGACGACGAGGGGGGCTGCGTGAAGCCTCTGTCCTCGAAGACGCGGAAGTCGTCGCAGTCCGACCTGTACATGAGACTGGGACTCCTCCTAGGTTCCAATCACTCAAGAACGAACAGCAGCGTGGACGCGGGAGACCTACCCTGCGTTCCGAATCGTTCCGGCGTCGGTCCGGCTTGTCAGTCCAGGGTTCCTATTCAAGGTCACGATAGCTCAGCAGCTTCGTTCAGCAGCCTCACCAGCTTCGAGACGCAAACCCTAGCTTCGACGAACACCAGTCCCGTCTCCACGTTGACCGGAACCTCCAGTGAAGCCGAAGCTGCAGCCGCGTTGAGATGTCCGGTGAAACCCAAGACGAAGGTCAAGGGGAAGAGCAAGTCCAGGGACTGCGACAGCGCCGGAAGCCTTGCGTCCATCTCCACGTCGGTTTCCGCCTCCACGTCTATGTCCATGTCCATGTCCGTCTCCGTTTCGGGCCTATCGAACGGCAGCTCGAGTCCTCTGAGTCCTAGAAGACATTCCGTCAACGCCTCGCAGGCTGGCCAACCGGACGAACTTGGCCAGTTCAAGAATCGACGATCCTGCGCCAGGAGGTCCGCCAGAGCTGCAAACGTCAAGGCTGCTGTCGACGCCAAATGTAACTTTCTTTCTTCTAGATCAAGGATGGCCAACCCAAATAAGCTCGCGGAGCACTTTCGAAATGCATCAACTTCGCGGGCCACACATAAAATTATCTATCCTCATGTTAGATTTAGACCCATTATAGACATTCTTTTCCTCTTGGCATTTTTCGACCGTGTTTCGTGAAAACTTTCTGGCACGCAATATTGTTTTAAAATCAAAGTTAATTGTTTCGGAAAATTTCGACAGCTAATTTATGAATATATAGATGCAGAATTAATGTACTTCTTTAATACATTGGTTTTCATTACTTTGGCCATTATAAAGTATATATATTTTGTAAAAGTGTGATGAATCTCGCGGACCGCGGGTTGGCCACCCCTGTTCTAGATCTTCTACATCTTGTACATCTTCTACATCTTCTAGATCTTCCACGTCCTCTTTCGTCCGATATTCCAGACGTTCAACGAAAATATTTTAATTTCCAGTGCGTTTTATGCAACACCATGCAACGCAGCTGACCCTGAAGCCACTGTTCTTCGAGGTACCTCTCCTGGAAACGGATCCCCTCTTCACAGGTCGCCAGTGGTTGCTCCAAGAGGTCGAGTCCGTGGTGAACGGCTCCAGTCCAGGCGTGTTGATCTCAGGCTCGCCTGGAACAGGAAAGACCGCACTGGTTCTGCAACTGGTGGAGCACAGTTGCTTCGGACGGAGGAGGGAGCAGCTTCCGTCGGAGATCACCGAGGAACCCGAAGGTAAAGAAAAGACTGGCGCCTCTGCGTTGCACGCTGGCATCCTCAACACGAACGAAAAGGTGAGTCGGAATGAAAATTTCTTTGTTTCCTTCATTTTATAAGGCCCCAGTTTTATAATCAGTTTTATAATCTGTTTTGCATTTATTGTTGTGCCTATTGATTCAGGCTTGTTGCAATTCACCAGTCTTGCACATACAGTCAGTCCGATAAATATCACTAGTTTACAAAATAAAAAAGAAATGTACATTCGATGCATACAATTTTTGTCTTATGTATTTTGACCTGCTAAACTCGAAAATCGCAATGAAAAATTTTTCTGTGGATAGGTCTTTTTATATGAATTTTTGAATATTTTTTCGATTTTTTTCTGAGATACCTTCACATTTTAGACCATATTTCGAGTTAGAAACAACTTCCATCAGAGGCTAACTCCTTGGTGGTTTTTCAGGTTCGAGAACTGGCGTCCCACGTGGTGGCGTATCACTTCTGCCAAGCAGATAACAACAGTACCTGCCTGGTGCCCGATCTGATCCACTCGTTGGCCGCGCAACTCTGCCAAGCGCCGCAACTCATCTCCTACAGGGAGTACTTGCTCTCCGAGCCTCACATTCAGGGCTCCCTGTCGCAAAGGGAGTGCACCGTGGATCCTGACCTCGCACTCTCGAGGGGTATCATCGAGCCCCTGGCCACGCTCAAGAAGACCAACAGACTGCCTGAGACTAACATGGTAGGTTTAAAGGACGAGACTCGGGGATTTGATGAGACTGACACTAGAATTCAGGAATGCTTTGAATCACAAAGGAACGTTGCAAGTTTCTTCTGCAGAATTTGAAGCTTTTACTGTTGTTAGATTTCGAGTATCTGTAGGGATAGTTCACGTTTCACTTGGCTGAGTCTAAAGATGCTCCAAGGCAACCCTTTTCTGTTGCGATTCATTGTCAGTTACCTCAGACCTGGAAGAAAGGAGACTCGAGGGACTTGATGAAACTACTCGTCAGGATGTTTTGAAGCCCTAAAGGACATTGCAAATTTCTTCAGCAGAATTTGAAGCTTTCGCAGTTGTCCACCTGTGGTCACTAGTCCTGAGTCTAAAGATGTTCCGCTACTCTGTATACATAAGAAAAGCAACCCTTTCTTTCAGAACTCAATTGCTCCTTGCCTCGTCAAACTTACTTCCCCACTCCGCGTCATCTACATAAACACTAGAGATGTCTCAACATTTCCAAACTCCAGTCTCTGACCCCACAAATATTCTATTTCGAATCCCACCCCGTTTTCTCAGTCACTCGTCACTCTGTTCGTTCCCTAGGTGATACTAATCGACGCCGTCTGCGAGGCGGAGTACCACAGACCGGACCGAGGCGACACGATAGCGTCCTTCCTCACGCGACACGCGCCCAACTTCCCTAGCTGGCTGAAGATCATCTGTACAGTGCGAACGCAGCTCCTGGAGTGCGCCAAGCAGCTACCCTACACGAGGGTGTCGTTGGACAAGACCTCGAACGACAGCCTCGCCAGCAACGTCACGAAGGACCTGTCCGACTATATCGGCTACAGGCTGGCCCAGAGCCCGGCGATCCAGACGAATGTGACCGCGTCGGTGAACGGAAAGGCGGAATCGTCGTGCAGCGCCAACCAGACACGATTCGCCTCGCATCTGCTCTCGCTGGCCAGAGGCAGCTTTCTCTTCGCGAAGCTGACGCTCGATCTTATCGAGAGCGGACACTTGGTAGCTAAATCTGCGAGCTACAAGGTGAGCGCAATAGTATCCGTACATCTCGCTTTCACGTTAGATAAGAGGATAACTGGGTTGCATGCCGGAGAAGAGATGAGATGTTTGGGTTAATGGTTGAATATGTATTTAATATTTAGGAGGAATAGGTGAATTAGTAATATAAATGATTATATTTGTGGACGTAGATTTGTTGAATACCTTGCAAATGGTTGAATGTGTATTTAATATTTAGGAGGAATGTATTAATAGTAATTCTTATAGAAGATGAAGGGTCAGTAAGGGAAGTTCGTTCTATTAAGATTTGAAGACGATTTTTGTTGTTCAGAATGCAAAGCCATCCTTGAAAATTAGAAAAACAGATATGATTCTGCTTGTAGACGTAAATTTGAATACCTTATGATAGGTTGAATATGTATTTAATATTTAGGAGGAATAAATGTATTAATAATATAAATGATTATGTTTGTAAGCATAGATTTGTTGCATACCTTGCAAATGGTTGAATGTGTATTTAATATTTAGGAGGAGTGTATTAATAGTAGTTCTTATAGAACATAAAGAGTCTGCAAAGGAAATTGGTTCAATTAGTGTTTGAAGACGATTTTTATAGTTCAGAATATAAAATCATTCTGAAAACTATCGTTTCAGGTCCTGCCAGTGTCCCTGGCGCAGATCTTCCAGCTGCACTTCAATCTCAGATTCCCCACCGCCACGTCCTTCGACAAGATTCAACCTCTGTTGGGTGTCTGTCTGGCTGCCCTGTACCCTCTGACCCTGCCAGAGATCTTCTACTCGGTGAACTCCCTGAACACGGACCGCTTCGTTTCGTGGGAGGACTTTTTACAGAGATTCAAGGTAAGCTTCTCTTCACCCACAACATTCGTTTCCATAGTTCTACGGTTCCTCGAGTGTCCATTAAACGATCGTTCTAATTATCCGTTTCATTGTTCCCTTTCCGCTGCTGATCAGTCGATCGCGTAAGTCTCGCCTGCGTCTCTCCAATCTAATACACTCTTTCGTCACGGTATCCGCCCATTCCTTGTACAAACGCAATGTTTTTTATCAGATGCTCTCTGGATTCCTCGTGAAACGGCTGGACAACACGTACATGTTCTTCCACCCGTCGTTCAGGGAGTGGTTGATGAGAAGGGATGAGGGAGAGTCGACCAAGTTCCTCTGCGACCTGAGGTTGGGTCACGCCGCGATCGCCTACAGGCTTTCCCGCCTTCAGGCACCGTTGGACGGCGATAAAGCGCTGGAACTGGGTCATCACATACTGAAGGCACACGTTTACAGAGGCGTTGCTCCGTGCTGGCCTTCGCGTGATTTACAGGTAACCACCTGCTCCCCATTTGCATACGAGAAACATCGTTTCGTCGATCCACGCGATTGCAAAACGGTTTCACACCTCTTCCGCAGGCGATCTGGTTGGCGTCATCGTCGGAGTGCGTCTCCTCCGCGCTGTGCACGCTTCGAAACATCTACAGCCCGAACGTAAAGGTCTCGAGGTTGCTTTTGCTGGCAGGAGCATCCCCGAACCACATCACGGAGTATTTAGGCAACGCCCCGGCTCTTTGTATGTACGCTCACGAGGGTTCCGTCGAGATGGTGTCGCTGTTGTTGGAGTTTGGGGCTGACGTCGAGCTGACCAACAGCCAGGGCTGCACGGCTCTGTCTCTGGCGGCTGCTCGTGGTCACTGCGACGTGGTCAGACGGTGAGGAAAACGTACCAATATGATAGAGGTCGTCGCATGTCTTTATGCTTTTACATTTTAAATGATCCTGGAAAGGTGATGAAGGGACGGTGAAGGAAATTAGCCCTTTGCGTTCGAGGCATCTTTCTATAGAATCAAATCCAGTCAATTTATATAATAAATTTCTGTGAAACCAAAAACTCTACTTCGAAGAAAAACATCTACAAACGTTCACGACTCAATATAGTATTATTTTAATTCATAATTAGTTGTATTCTGATGTAAGTGAATTTGAAATTGTACGTTCACCAAATCACTTTTAAATTACATATGTCGCCCTAGAGGCGCCACCCGAGCGCAAAGGGTTCATTCAGCTTTAAATTAATTGAGTGTTAAATTAGTAAAGCTTTGAATTAATTAAGCTTCGGGTTAGATGACGTACGAGTTAGTTAAGTTCCGAGTTAGTTCAACTACGAATTAGTTTAGCTTCGAGTTAATTCAGTGTGAAATTAGTAAAGCTTCGAATTAGTTAAGCTCCGAGTTGGTTGAGCTACGAATTAGTTAAGCTTCGAATTGATTAAGCTTCGAATCAGTTGAGCTTCGAATTAGTTCAGCTTAAATTCCCTGGCAGTGGTTTTCCGCCTAAACATCGACCGACAAAAGCCCCCAAAGGCTTAGTTTCCGGCAGAGCCAGCCCCAAGTCCCTATCTCAATAGTACCTATAATCACTCTCGTTGTCTTTATGCTTCGAAACTAACGAGCATATTCCTCCCAAGGTTGGCGGCCGCTGGAGCGTCTCTGGGACACACGGACATGGCTGGACAATGTCCTCTGGTCCACGCAGCAAGGCACGGAAGGTTATCCGTGGTTGGTTACCTCTTGGCCTGCGACTGGCTCGTTCCAAACGCTGAAAACGAGCCGGAGAACACTCAGGACATAAGCAGAGAGGAAGCCGCCCAACAGGCTGTCGTGGCTGCCTCGGCCCAAGGTCACGAGTCCATCGTGGAATATCTATTAGACATGGCAGAAGTGATCGTGGATCGTCCGGACACCTTAATCGGCGAAACTGCTTTGACCATCGCCGCTGCAAACGGTTCCACGGCTACCATTTCCGCGCTGCTAGCGCGTGGAGCGAGTCCGACTGCTGTGAACGCTAAGGGACTGTCCCCTCTGATGCTGGCTGCGAGGGAGGGACACTGGGGCACCGCTGAGAGACTCTTGCAAGGTTTGTTTATCGTTTGTTGAGTTGGGCATCGAATTTAAAAGGAGAAAGAACTGAGACGTCAATGTTCAATACAGGTACCCTGTCCAGCAGTACGGACACCATCTTGGACGACGCTGTGTCGCTCCTGGACCAACGAGACCCTGCTGGACGAACAGCCCTGATGCTGGCAGCTTCAGAAGGCCACACAAACTTGATCGAATTGTTCCTTGATAAAGGATCCATCCTGGAGGGCAGGGACAAGGAAGGACTCACTGCCCTCTGCTGGGCCTGCGTGAGGGGGAGGCTGGCTGCTGTGCAGAATTTCATCGATCGCGGCGCGGATGTTAACACTAGCGACAACACTGGCAGGACTCCTTTGGATTTAGCTGCGTTCCAGGTATAAGAATTGGAGTCTAAACGGAAAATAAGGCGGCTTCGAGTTAGTTAAGCTTCGAATTGATGGACGAATTAGTTCAGCTTCGAATTAATTCAGTGTCGAATTAACAAAGCTTCGGGTTAGATGACGTACGAATTAGTTAAGCTCCGAGTTAGTTTGGCTACGAATTAGTTCAGCTTCGAATTAATTAAGTTTCGAATCAATGGAGCTTCGAATTAATTCAGTGTCAAATTAATAAAGCTCTGAATTAGTTAAACTTCGACTATAGTCATTTTCAAAATCTACGCATAAGATTATTTAAAAATCTGCATACAAGGCACAAAGATTCGATCCCACGATCCTCGAATCCACACTCGACCACTTTTCCTACACGACCAATCCCGCACCCTACGATTCGTGTTCTCGTTTGACTTCCATATTCTTGAATATGGAACCACGAATACTACGCAATCTTTTGATGTATCTCTTCTGACCAACGCCCCTAATTTCTAACAAAGTGTGTACTTGAAATTCAAAGATATCTGATACATTCCTTCCTCGATTTCCTTAAACACCAAACGGTCGCCTAATCTGACCGTGAATATTTTCCCAGGGCAATCCGAAGCTCGTGCAGCTGTTGCTCGAAAAAGGAGCAGCGGTCGAGCACGTCGATCTCCACGGAATGCGACCTTTGGACCGAGCTATCGCGTGTCGTAACATACCCGTGGTGCAGTGCTTCCTGCGTCGCGGCGCCAAGCTCGGACCAGCCACATGGGCGATGGCGGCCGGCAAGCCCGACGTTCTCCTGATACTCTTGAACAAACTCCTCGAGGACGGGAACGTGCTCTACCGGAAGAACAGACTGAAGGAGGCGTCGCACAGGTACGCCTACGCCCTCAGGAAATTCCCAGCGTCCCCTGAGGAGGACTGCCAGGGACAGGAGCAGGGCCACGTGGTGCTGCAACTGCAAACGTTTGCGCAACTCCGGCTGAATTTCTTGCTCAACCTCAGTCGATGCAAGCGCAAGATGAATGTAAGTGCTCGTTGAAATGAAAGCTCATGGCATATCCCAGAGTTTTGCAGAATTTCTTCGTAAAGTATTATTACAGATTTTTATGCATTTATGTGTACTTATGCAAGACGAAATAATAATATTATTATTGTATTAATTGCAGAATATGTTATTATTAATATACATATATATTAGAGTAATTAGAGTACATCGTACTTCGATCGCATTGCAATCGACACTGGAATGTATTCTCGTGGTATATTCCAAAGTTGAGCAAAATTACTTCCTGAATTATCATTACGAATTCGATTAGATTTTTCGAGATATCACGAATTTTTAAGTTGCAATCTAAGAAAAATTAAATGTGATCGAATAACGTACTTCAATTAGCACGACTCTGGCATACTTTGCCGCTATTTGAATTGTAAAAGAGCCTGTGAAGAACGTAAGCTTACTTTGGCGGCCATATTTGGTTCTGGACCTGTAACACCGCAAACATTGAAGTGCACCCATTCAGAGCGTCATCTTCTTGCAGGAATGTGCGGAAGCAATCGAGCTCGCTGACGAGGCTCTGAAAGTTCGCCCGGTGTCGTACGAGGCTTTTTACGCGAGGGCAAAAGCTCGCGTGGACTCGGATTTGTTGGAGGACGCTCTGTCCGACGTCCACGAGGCTCTTCAAATGGCGCCACCGCAGAATCGACAGGATCGACGCGTCCTGGTCGCCCTGAGGGACGAGATAGTCTCTCGACTGGACGGAGCTGGAACCGCCAAGAGTGACTCCGCCAGCAGATCCAGGCTTCGAGCGTCTGTGGACACCCTCACCGAGTTGTAATCTTTACTGTTCCCCTTGTAAAAGACTCGAACATTTTTAGGGTAGCCCCTCCTCTGTCAGGAGAATTACCACTTTTGTTCCAGTGACCTCCGAACGTTCTCGACGAGCTTCGTTTGTCTCTCTCGTATTTTTTAGGCGATCTTGAAACGAACGCGAAAGAGATGAAGTTCGGAGCTATTTCTGAACGACACAGGTTGTCCTGTTGAAACGTATTCCTGCGAAAGATATTCCTTTCCTTGAGTCTTCTGCAACGCGAAGACGAGGTTTCGACGTCTTTAATTCGTATGCAATCGCATTGCATGATCGTGTAAGGTTTTTGTACGATGTTCAGAGTTTAATATATATATATATACATTTCTCTTTTTATATATATATATATATATAGTATAAATATATATAAATATTTGTATTATATTACGCGTATAAAAATTGGTTTCTAGTGTCGTTGTAATTTAATGAAAGTTATTTAATTCTGTTTCTTTCTCACTCTTTCTCTCAGTATTTCTTTTTCAACGTGAGCCATCGCGTGCACGTATGTATATGTAAAGATACAAATGAAGACAAAAAAAAACACACACACACACACACACAAATGTAACGCGCGACAGTGTCGTTCGTCGAAGAGGAGCGTCGATATATTCCACAGTTAGAGAATCGAACCGATAGAGAACACTGATCGTATTTATAATGCATTCGCTTGCCACGCATTTAATACACCTATTCCTCTGTAACCTGTTCGCTAAAGTGTCGCGATCCAATCGTCGGCCACGTGTTCGACTTATTTTTATTATCATAGGAAGGCCTGCAGCGAACTTGGATGGGCTTTTTGGTTACAGTTGCGACGTTGTTTGTCTCTGCCTTGGAGCATTGATGTCCGAGATAAACGAACTTTTTATCGAAAATTGTTTTTTCTTTACCTTCAACTCTCGATCCTCGTATTTACCTCTTTCATTCTCCTTTCGTGTGTCGTTGATGTTTTTTTTAATCGTTCTTTCGTTATACCTTTATCTTACAATGACAGACACAGATTTCATCGACACTAGTTTCGACCAGCGCTGGTTTCGATCGACACGAATATTGACTGTGATATCAGAATTAATGTAAAAACCTGAAATGGGGAGTAGCTGAGACGATTCTGAACAACAATTTCCTTTGCAAAAATGTCGGATGGTGCTTCGTTTTTGAATTATTAACAAGAAACCACCGACCAATCACAGCGCCCGAGTAGTAGCGCGCGCTTAGTCGCAAGAGCATAGGCTCGAGCCAGGATTGGCTGGCTACGCCAGGTTGCGGCGCTACTCACGCGCTGTGATTGGTCGGTGATTTTTCGTTAATAATTCAAAAATGAAGCCTCTGCCAACATTTTTCCAAAGGAAATTGTCGTTCAGAATCGTCTCAGCTACCACCCATTTCCGGTTCTTGCATTAATTCTGGGACACCCTGTATATTTTCTGTACTGTTCAATTACGAAGAATGTTTATTTGTTTAATTAATTGGCGTCTGTGACTTCTGTTCGACGAAATCTGCATCAATAAAGTCTGTGCCGGTAATTTCCATGGGTCTCGAATGAAATGCACAACTCTCCACTTCGTTCAACTCTTCTTTATTGTTCCGAATCATCGAACGTCTTTTTCGTTCGCGAGGGCCCGGCCGAGGCCCTCTAAGTGGTGTACATCGATTAGAGAGAATTCGTAAGGTGCGTTATGGATACATGAAGACATATATTCGCATAAGTGACGGCAATCCCCCGGTATCAGACATCTTGAAGAAAAAGAACGCTTAAACTCGGAAGTAACATCGACGACAATTCTTATCGGAAAAACGTCCATAGAAAATAGGCTAGAAGGGAATACACAGCTCTCCGAGTGTTCTTTTCTCTGTTATTACGTTTAACAATAAAGCGGGCACGCTGCCGCTCTCGCAAGCTTGTCTTCCGTTACAGTTCGCCCGAGTATCTCCGAGAGTTAGTACCAAGTTACGGATTTTGGTCACGAACCCGCCGCCGTCGCGCCGACAGCCACGTTTAAGTACACTTTAATCGTTTACGTATATATTGTAAATGTAAGAATAACCGCAAATATCTCAAGCCTCGCGTGATCACAAATTCGATTTTCGTATACTCCAATCGCCAGCTGCGAACGTTCGCGATATTAAAACGCACACCCATGTTAATAACCGCTCAGCGACCTTGAGCGGCCGATATCTACCGCCTGGACTCGGCGTTTGTACCACGTTCGTTCTTATATCGATTACAGACAGCGTACGAGAGAATATCAGAGACTCGAAACGATTAACGAGCTGCGGATGCAACGTGGTCGATAATTCGTAAAAAGCACCTCTGTAACGGATAGATTACTTTACATTATTTGTGTTTGCAACCCTGTGAATTGTGTGTACGGTCGGGTTCACGGAAACCCGGGAGATACGAGCGACACCGGCGAATGGAGACGTCGAGAAGCCTCTACTGCGCGTGTACCTTGCGCAGAAGCGACGTCGCGCGATTCGTTTGATTCGCTGGCGGCGCCGGAGCCTCCAAAGGGTTCTCGTTCACCTAGAAGTATGTACATTACATGGAAAGTAGCATTCTCAGGCTTGGATCGCACCAGGTAACGTTTGCACTGTTCGCGATTCGTTTATCACCGCAGGAAAATTGTCCACGGAACTGCACTGACCCGTTTCCCAGTTCGCTCACTCGCGTCACCCTAACTCGACGATCAACTGGAACGAGAGCGATCGAGTCGCGTATAGACAACGGACGCAACAAGTGGTGTCTCGTGGAAAACGCCTGAAAATCGATCGCCTTCGCGTCGATGACTCAACTGACGTGTCGCGAGATACAAAATGAATAGAAAACTTAACGTTACGTTCTTATACAAAATTAACGTTACGAGAAATTGTAGCGCGAAAAGTAGCGCGTGAATTTTGTTTAGAAAGCAACTTAACGCACGAAGAGTGGCCATCGAGAATCGAACATTTCCGATATATTTGTGTAAATGCGACTTAATTGACCGGTTTTACGCGACCAGGGTAACCCACGGAATTTATAACGTTGGTCTCTTAAATTTTTGCGAGCTAAGATGATCGCATAAAATTAAGTCACGTCTGCACACATATTTCGAGAATGTTCGTGGATTCGTTTCTCTATTAGAGTGGACCACCTTCCAGATATAAGAAGCCGGAAGCAAGAGTGTCGCGTTTCAAAGTTTCCTGTTAAAATCTCGGCGCGTGTGCAAAGCTTAGAGTAGCTTAAAATGAAGCCTGATTCACGACGTCTCTCGGGCTACTGTTCGTCCTGTTCATGCTACCCTTTCTTCGTCGCAGTACTCTCCTAATCACCAGCTTCTGGACCCAATGGTACGTGGACGTACGGTCTCAATATTGGATTGTACTTTCGAGTAATTAGTGAAAGGTTAATATACTTTTACGATTATAAAAGATAGAAGTTTACGCGAGAATAAGTGACTGCGACATACGAACACGTACAATTGAGTCGAACAGTTGAATAGAGTAGTGGTAGCCTCAATTTCGTGAGAAGATGGCGGACCACCTGAACAAGTAATAACCAGATTATGTTTAAAGGCTCTTTACCAAAAGCCTCGTAGCATCATTCGGCGTTTCGGTTACGCGACAACTAGAAGGACACCTTAAAGAAAAGGTAGCACGAATCGAACCGTGTGTCTCAGCTTCGCTAGATGTAAAAATATTTTTCAGAAGAAAAATGTTTCGACAGACAGTTGCCCAGCAGACGTAACGTTAATCTTCGCTATAAGCAAGCCCACGAATGGCGTCCTGGAACCACCGTTAAGTTTCCAAGTCGTTATCGCGAAGAACAACTCGTGAAACCCTTGATGTTCCCTCATGTCGAGACGTTGAGGTCGCCGAGTTCCCCTGAAGAGGATTCCTCGGTGCGTTCGATGGGTCTTCGTCGTTCGGCGTTGATGGTCAGCGGTGTCGTTCAGCGAGCTGCGACGCTAGGAAGAACGCCAGTGAAGCAACGCAACGAAGACGCGTTCGTTTCACGTGAAGTGCGTGGACGGGACAACAGAGTGTCGAATACATCGCAGGAGCACGCGATCGGGGGCTAGTGGCCCTTGTAGGTGTCCTTGTTTTGGTAGCCTTGCACGTAGCCGGACTGGTCGGGAAGGTCCTTGCGACCAGCGATCCCCTTGCCCTTTCCGGTTTCGTCGAACCGTTGCTTGTGGGAGCCGGTGTACTTGCTGACGTCTGTCAGCCTGTCCACGGTCGAGGCCGCTTTTCCCACCTGGAGATTGTTTATTTATTAAATGGGTCGAATCTCATTGTTGATTGTTGATATAAAGCAGGAGTGGCCAACCCGCGGCCCGCCTTGAACATTTTTGCGGCCCGCGAGATTCGTCACACTTTTACAAGATACAGCGACTCACCAAAGTATTTGAATACTTCGTACGAAATACTTTATTAATTATGATAGGTGTATTATATAACATTTACTGAAATATTATTAACACTGCTAGGAGGTACGACTCTGCAGATTATATAGGTAAAGTTTCAAACAAATCGAAATATATAAACAATAGATTTGAATTATTTCTTGTAAATATCTAAGTAAGGAAGCTTCAGATTGCAAAACGGTAAAGGACTTTTCGATTTCATTTTGCTGCATAAATTAACCTTTATTAAATTAATCAAGACGAATAATCAATTAATCAATTAATCAAAACGAGTTAAATCGCATGAGCTTATTGTTAATGAGTTAATGAGTTAATAAGTTAACTCGTATTGAGCTCCTTCCTATTTAAAAAGCTCGTACGATGTAATTCGTCTAAAGCACGACAAGAAGAAAATAATTTGACGAGTATACTCGCGCAGAGTGCCAAAAAGGTTAATCCCAAGGAAAATGTTTCTTTTTTAAATACCACGTACATGGTATTCACAAGCCTAAAGCGCCAAAAATATTACAACAAAAACTATGAAATTAATAGAAAAACCCATTTGCAGATTAGCCAACCTCTTCAGGCTTGACTGAACTCGTCAAGCCTAATCTATGAATCGTACAAAACCTAATTTCTATCGATTCCTATTCTAACTATTCAAAGAACATAAACAGTGAATATCTCGCGTCTCCTTCAAGGACATCATTTTTTCCAAGTACTGTCATTGAAGCAATCATGGAAACTTTAATTAAAAAAAGAAACTTCTGAATCGTCCTTGAAGACTCTCGCAAGTATCGTTTGCGAACTATTGGCCTAATTAACGTGTAGATTCCGATGCTCGCGACATGTGGGCGACGGGAATCGCCTATTAAAGATTTATTGCCGCTGTCTATAAGTTGAGACCCGTAAATCTCCGCTGTCGATAACGCGATGGACGAGGTCGCGAAAGGCGTACTACTTTTGGCTGGATTAATTCATGAAATCGTGGGCGAAGCTTATAGGTATCGATTGACGTCTATGCGATGTCTCAACCACGATATCGTGTGTTGCGTGCAACTCTAATTCTCGAGGGCAAACAATGAAGTAACGTGACACTTTCACTAATTGTGAACTGCTTTCATACAATTCTCTGAGGAAATTCTCTGAGGAAATTTTGCTAGACGAAACAACGCTGTTTTCCATAATTTGCTTAAGGAAATAATTCGGAATTAATTGAGAATATGGTTTTCGTACAATTCTCCGAGGAAATTTGGAAAGATAATTGTTTGGAGTAGAGAGTTGGAGACGGTTGTTCGAAGATACTTACCCCTGAAGCACCAGTCACTCCGGGTGGTCCACAGTGCGCCATCTTCTTCTTCATCTCCGTCAAGTCCACCTTCTTGCTCTTGGCCAACTCCTCTAGGAAGGCTTTGTACTGCTCCACTCCCAGCTTCGTGGATCTACTCATGAAAATAATCTAATTATTCAATTATTTATTTTGATATTCTTAATGTAACTGGATGGAATCATTGCTGGTATTCTGTTTTGTGTGCTTAGAGTGCTTATTGAGAGCTACTTAACTATTCGCCCATATGTATTGCAAACTTTACTGATACTTTTTCTTACAAAGATCTCTTTTTGCCCTAATGTCTTATTTGTTCCATTTTTTCCATATTATGCCCTAGGCTTTTCGATATTTTATATTTGTTAACCAACCCTAACCCAATCTTGAGAAACTGACCTTTTATTTTATTTTATTTTATTTACCTTGCTGGTATCTTTAATCCATCGTAAGAGATAAATTCGAATTCTTTAAGAATTTCTGTCTCATCAATGATAGAATTACATTAATTTCTCTTTAAATATTGTAGTATAACTTGAATTTTTTGTATATACCGAAGAGGACTGAAAACATTGGAATTTTATCTGAAAAATTATTTGAACAATTTCTCGACAGCAATTTCCAGTTTAATACGGTGGTCACCAGGTAGCCACCCTTTCTCACTAGTGAATTAAGTCTAAATTTTCCAAGAGAAAATCAAGAGGTTGAAAATCAAACTCAGTAAAAAGCTTTTCTTCGTTAGCACCCCTTGTATTCCAGTATCTCATATCTATCTATTTGTCCCTGTCTCTATCCATGCTTCAATCATAAAAGTTGAGCGATACTACTAAAAAATATCCAGCATCGAAACATTCCTCGTTTAACTAAAATTCGTGACATCCTTCCGAAGACCGTTCCGAGTTACTAACTTGTGCTTCTTGAAGTAAATCCCCGTGTCCGTGGTGGTGATCTTCTTTCCATCGATCACCTTCGCCTGCTTCATCCACTTATCGCTCTGACTGAGGGTGATCAGCTTCCCGTCGCTTTTCGGGTCGCCGAATTTCGAGAACGCCTTGAAGCTAGACAGGAAGGTGCCAGGCTGCGTGGCGCCCGGGCTGCTGGGCGAGCTTCCTGTCTCGTCCTCGATCTTCAGGTTCGCCGTTTTGTTCGTCATCTCCGTGGATTCCTCATCGGCGTGGTTTTTCTCCGGCTTGGCCTCGTTTTTCCCACCCTCGGCATCGTTTTTATCGACGTTGTTTTGCTGTACCTTCTCGGTCTCGGTGTCGGTCTTTTCAGCTTGCATCCTTGCGCCTGAAATTGCCAATTCGAAACCTGTCAGCCGGATAAAAGCAGCGTGGGAATGCAGGAAATCGTTATAAGGGTTCGCTCTATCTGACCTAGATTTGGGGTGGCATTCATTTGAGGAAATATGCGAATTGTCGTTTTTATTTATACGAGGATTTAAATTGAGGGTTACTCGTGGTTAAGGGTGAATTAATAATCAGTGCACTCCTTAGATCGTTTAAATATCACGGACTGACAGAAAAGTAAACGTTTATCATTGTCAAGGCTAGATTGTCACTGCAGATGTTTATGTACGATACTTACTGTAAATGAAAATACAGAGGCATGTATGAGGATGTGCATAAAATGCAAGAATATAAAGAATATCGACAATAAAGTACATATTATAATGTTTAGAGGATAAGATATACTTTTGTTTTATAAATTTATTTAAAGTAAGTCTCGATTCTTTATCTTAATCTGTAATAATATGAATTTGCATAAATATGGACGTCATGTCCAGGGCAATTAAATATGAAGCAACTTGAACAAATTAATTTCAGCCTCCAGCCATTAATACCTGAATGTCCGGTAGGATAAATAAAATAAGAATAACGCGAACGAATAAATAAGTGTCCCGAGAAAGTAATCTCGTATTCCGAAGTTTCCGATTCGCCACGAAAAGAGATTCGACCCCACGGGAAGTTTTACGGTTATCGGCGTTTCGCACCCTTCCTGCTGAAGCTTTCACAGAGTATCAAGGGAAGTTTACGGGCGCCGAAATCTTCTTGGATGGAAAGTAACGCGATACTAGCGTGTCAGGGTCAAGTTTAAGCGGGGAATGGATTACTATGTGAAACGTGTAGGTACACCGTTCGCGCTATTAGCATCCGACGGACACGTCGATGACGTTTTGAGGTCGACTAACGCGAGCTATCGATTGATTAGCGTAATACCCGTAGGCGACCCCCTGAAATCGGCGATGAAGTTTTAAGGGGTTAGTCGCAGTCAGGAAAATGAAAACGGACACTTTCTTTTTTTTTTTTTTAGATATTAAATAATAATTTTTATGAATGAAATGTAAATATATTACAAAGTATGTCTTGAAGGACTATAAAAGAATTT